CTGGGGAATTCTGGGAGTTGAAGTCCACACATCCTCAAGCTGCCAAGGTTGAGAAACACTGTTCCAGAGATTAAACTTGCTTGCATGGTATCAGCAAAAATCAGTGTAGCAGAAATTTTAAAATGAACAATGAAGTTCTTTGGGTTTTTTTTAAGACAATCTTGTAAAATGCGCAACATTCGTCAGGTTGCTGGAATGCAAGATACAACAACAAGATGCACGTCAGTTAATTATATAATTATGTACCCTAACCCCTTCACCTTTCTTCAAGTGACTGAAAAAAATTAGAATCGTTATTTGTGGATAGAAAAGGTATGATGGATATGTTCAGGCATCCCCACATGTTCCAACATTGCTTTTCTTCCAATTTCTGTAGATAAGAAAAAGCTTTAGGGCATTCAAGCACTGACATTAAGAAATTAAAGCAATTCACAAAAGAGATGCCTATGTAAACACACACTCAAGTGCTCAATTTTGAAGGGAGTCCAATGTAAACTTTGGGGAACATTGGAGAACGACTTCTCTCCCTATTAGTTTTCTTTTTGCTGCGCTGCTGCTGCAAACAAGTTTGTGACCTCCATTTGGTTTCCTTCTGACCCCTTACTCTGTTCAGATGGTTTTAATTGCTAAGGCCAGCATGTGGGCCTCTGTGACATACTTCAAAGGCTTCTTTCCATTTCTTCTGCTGGATGTATTGTTGTCCCAGATTAGTCTGATTCTGGACATATACCCTCTGCTTCTCATCCACCAAGCCAATTTGATATAAGAATTCTGCATAGCCTCCCAGCATCTGATCAAGAAAATGAATGATATTAATCAAGACTGTTTTCATTTTCAAATGCCATTAAAAAGTTTGAAAAGCACAAACCAAAACCAATACATTTGGCTGAGGCAAAAAGCATGCTTGAGAACGTATACTCTTTACTAATACTGTAATAAAGTTTCAATGGCTTTTAAGCAGCCGATCTTGGTGGAATTGTAACTAATTTACAAACTTATATTAAGAAACGTGTGATCAAGGTTAAAAGCATTTGCACTGGCTGGAAATTAGTCAGGATAGCGTTCTTTTTTGGGTCTGCAATTTTAGAATACAAAAAATATGGAAATCATACCACTTCAGGGTCACAAAGACCGTCTCCAATGGCAACACCCTTGAAATTGATCTTTATCTTTGCTGTAGGATTATTGCTATGAATATAATATCCAATGGCCGGCACATATTTTCCTGCATAAGACTAAAGGTAATACAATGGTTGAATACTCAGCAATCATTAATAGGTAGAGGTTTTTTATATTATCCAAGTATGACTAGAATTTCTTATACTGTGTCTTAAGTAGTCAGCTGAGACCCTTAGCAGTCCCCAATCCTAAGGACCCTCAGATGTGCTGAAACTCAATATCCAGGCAATATCTGAACAGCATCACATTAGGAAAGACCGTTATATCTGCTTACTCCAGTATCTTAAGGGCTGGCATGTTTCTTAGGAAACAAAAACAGAAAATGAGAATGTTCTGTGTTAAGTAATCACTTTATGTCTTCTTAGTCAACTGCATCAACAGAAAATTGCATATTTGGTTAAATAAAAAAAGGAAATTCTCTTGCTTTATTTATTAGATTTAGCCCAGGCCTTTATTTTGTACAACTCAAGGTGGCATATATAATGCTCCCTCTTCCTGTTTTCCGTATTTGGGTGAAAGGGAGTGATTGAGCCAGTTTCATGCCTGAAGGAGGACTAGAATTCATAGTCTCCCAGTTTCTAGCCCAACACCTTAACAATTACACCAAACTGGCTTTTTGTTTCACAAAAGCTATTCTGCTTATATCAAGTCTGCAAAATGCGTGTAACTCTGAGAAGACATGTATATAATTGCACTATTTGATGTACATTTAAAGCAACGTTTTAACATTTATAATCCAAAAACAAAAGGATGTTTGGTCTCTAGAGGCAAAAGGCATAGAGGAACTTCAGCTTTCTTATTTCCACGTCCATCTTCTTTAAGTGTTGCTGTTGGCAAAAATTAATAAAAAAGTTTCCTGCCAGACCAATCAAGACAAAATCTGTATCTTCAGAGAAACAAATACACAATGAAAATAGTATCTCTTGACTATAAAACATCACTTGTGTTAGCAATTAGTATCAACCACAAACTGCTGAGAAAAATGCATTTTTAGAGCTATTACATCCAACATGCTGCCCCAGATGTTATGGGACTACAATTCTCAGATGTGGGGAAAGTTGTCTTAGAGAGACAAATATCAATAGAATTGTCTGCAATTAAAAAAAAGCTTCTATTTCTCTGGTGAACAGATAAGTTTGAAACCAAATGCAAGCACTACTGGAAGAAGTTGATAAACAACAGTTGCAAAAATGAATGTAAATTCTTTGTTAGGACCATTGTTACCAGGTTAAACACAGAAGTCAAAATAAACCTCTGGCTGAAAAAATGAAAAAAAAAAAGACAATAACTTAGTCCTTGTTTTCAATCCTTGCTTTTAAAGCAAGAAACAGGGCTGGAGTTTCAGGTTACTTACAATCCCCTTGCTGGCTGTTTTATGGATGTATCTGCATTATTTTACAAAGTCTAAATCTGACTTCCAGTTCACATGCACATCAGCTTGCTATAGCAATAATTGAAATCTCCACATCTTGAAATGTTAACAATGAGGGTAACTGGGAAAATTACTGACTTTCTTCCATTCTTTCTAATTGAAAGCATAAAGCAGATGCTGCTTCTGCACACAACATATCATATTATTTCAATTCAAATAGAGCATCTCCAAGTGGAGATATTTAAGATTATTCTACAGTCTGATTAAGGTGGTACAAATGTCAGCAACATCTTGTGTGTCCCTTGGGCACAATAAATAAAACTGCATCATACTGAGAATTAGAAAACACAAACAAATGCAGTGTTGGACAGAAGAAAAGTCTACAGTTATTTTCCAACATATACCCTCACTGGATTTTGTTTACCTTTCCACCATTTCTGTCAGTTTACATATAGACTGCTTTTGAAATGGTAGCCTTAAGTTGCTTACTTTTTTTAAAAAAAGGTATTATTTATGTATTAAAGTATTTACATGACACTTCCTGTGAAAATCTCCATGCAGATTATAATAATATAAAAATGCAATTCAAAACACTAATGTGTACAGGTAGTCCTGGACTTACGACCACAATTGGGACCGTAATTTCAGTCACTAAGCAATGCAATCATAAAGCGAGTAAGTCCCTTCATTCAGCACCATTGTAGCTTTGAATGGTCACTGAATGAATGGTTGTAAGTCCAGGACTACCTGTAGTAAATGTGCACTCAAGCATTGAAACACCCCAGTCAATTTGATGAAGTCAGTTGAAGGGAGCTAGGCACTTGAAAGTAATCGACTCTAAAAAAACTCTCACCAACTCTAAAAAATCCTTCACATCATTTGGAGTTTCCAGCACTTAGGGGCTCTCTAAATCATTGCAAGATTTATTTGTGGAGGGAGGGATGGGTTAAGTCATGCAAGGAAAAGATTTAACAGGAAAGTTTAATAAAACTTTTATCCAATGCATATCAAATAATCTTTACCTTTCTTGCAGTAGAATTGATTATTCCCCCCAAAAAAGCAATTGCCATCTCTTAGACAGTTGCAACGGAGTCTCCAATATTAAAGCAACTGTGATCAGATCTGATAAATCAGTGGCACTCAATAAGGGAGACTTTAATCCTTTTGCTATGTAAGTACAATTAATTAAATATCCTTTATTAATTTTGCTTGCATGATTGCACAATGAAATCACACATACACTTAGAACAGAAGACTGCAAACCTTGAATAAATCTGGCTGAGTGACCAAATTACCTATCCAGAAATCTTGCTGTACTGTCTATCAACAATTCTATTGATGGGAAAGTTCTATTTCTGCTTTAACGTAATACAAACATATTCCTTAATTTATATTATCTAGAGGAAGAATTTTACACTCACAAATTAACAAATGTTCAAGCGTTAAAATAAACTTACTTCCCCTGTTGCATAGAAGTCATTTTTCTGATAATCAGGAAAAAGCTGGAAAAACTGAACAATTGCACTGAAATACAGATATAGTATCAGTAAAACACGGACCCTGAGAAACTGTAGTGGAAGCTCACAACTCACTTGAATGTGAAGCCTTACTAATTTAATCAATGGCTGCATCTTCAAAGATACAATCTGACATCTACCTGTGATTACATAAAAGAGCAGCATTTATACTTAGAAAAGAAAATATGTTACAATTTTTGGAGATGTACACTCCCCCCACCCCCAGTAATGATGTCTTTTGATGTGACATTGGCCAAAACTACAGGACAGGTACAGAGATGTTTGTATCTTGATTTTCAAGTGCCAGGTGAATATACAACTCCCTTACTGCCTAGCTCTATAAAGAATTCAATTACTTTATGTCCATCCTGCTTAAGTGCAAGCAATCAGTAAAATGCAACTTACAAATTTAAGACATTAATTAATGAATGAATCAAGATTGAATTTGGTGAGGGAGGAAACTTAAGGAAGCGTACCAGGTCAGTTTGAACCAGGCGATGTGTGAACATAAGATTTTTAAAGCCTGGATGGGAGTGGCATGCACCATCTGCAATCCTGCTCTTATTTATTTGATTTTTAAGATTTGTTCTTTGTCCTTGAAAACCAGCTACCCAGTCCGAACAGGAGACTTGTGGATCATTACTTTAACATGAGAAGAAGAAAAAAATGCTCAAGAAGTAAGAAGAATTTTGCTATAAATATTAGAGCGACGCAACTCATTCAAAGAGGTCCTTCACAACTGTGTTAGCATGAGCAAAGCACCACTCCTTGAAGCATTAAAAACAGCCATGTCCTAAAGAAGGACTGAATGGCTGCTTTGAAAGCTGTCCATGCCTGTCTCTGTGTGTGTAACAGTGAGAGAGTCCATGCACAGCTGCTCCAACAGATGCACACATGCACAACTGGGGATAGTCTGAAGCAATGAAAAAGCCTTGTAAAGCCTTGTAAAGGACAGCTGCTTTAATGCTTCAAGGACTGCTTCAAATGCTTTGCACAACTCTAGTAAACATTCTAAATCTCCCCAGAAGGTGTGAGCAGGACTCCCTGTTCTGGTTCATTAAAAAAAAAATTAAAAAGTAGACATTCAGCTTTTATTTACCTATACAAATCTCTTCCTACATCTTCTTCGTTCTTTGCATATCCTTTCCCATCACCTGTAAAACTGAAACCAGTTCCAACCTGATAGTTAAAGAGAACACAGGACATATGAGAAACAACAAAATTTTAGTTTGTTGCTGACGTTTTCCACATCAAGTAAAATTCAGTTAACTATATAGCTTCTCCTACAGTTATAAATTAGGTTCTAATCTGGTTTTACGTTTAGTCCGTATACATGCCTATTCAGAAGTCAGTTTCATCAAGACCAATTGACACATTCCTATGCTAGTGAATGTAAGATTTCAGGTTAGAAAAAAATCTAAATTCCCCCCTTTCTCTTTTTTCAGGCATAATTTATGTGAGCCTTTTTTTTCTTATGGTAGTTATGCTATACTATACAATGCTATATAGTAGTATGTAGTAGTAGTTAAACTTTTCTACAGTGATTATACTTATTTCTAGGATAACCAAAGTTCAATAACTTTTCAACTTTCCAAGCAAGGGAAATCAAAAATGGCTAAATTAGAGAACCACGACAATGAGGAGAAGAAGCAGAAACAGCAGCAGTGTCAATACTTCCTTGTTTAAATTAAGCTTTGTGATGGCCATTACCAATTAATCTACTACAATCATATGCAACATCTTTTCCAAATTCCAAAAGAAAATGAAAAGAGAATGTAGAATATTACAGCCAAGGCATAGTTATGCAAAAGTCAAATGAACTGCATTTATCAGAAATGATTGCCAATAATTTTGTACAACCACAAGCACAAAATATGCATTTCAGCATGGCAATCAAATCCATTCCATCATTTTTCATTCACTACAATGTAGGACTGATGTGTTCTATATGCAGGTTGTATCATGCTGGGAATTCTGGAAACTGTAATCCCAAATTATTTGGAAGGTATCAAACAGATGAATGCTGATTTACTGACAAAACTAGTCACGAAAGGTACTTTCCTCTCACGTAATCAAAAACAACCTTTGGGGGGACATATGAATATCTGCTGATACATCTTTTCCACACACATACACCCATTATTTTCAACTCAAACTCTCATTCCTGCAGAGTTTTCATCAGAAAATAATAAAAGCATATGAACAGGAAATGGACTGAGGAGGACAGAGTAGACATACTCCTTGGCTATTCATTCCTATTCTGAAACTTAAAACTTACTTATCTATTTATCTATCTATAGCTACTCATCTCACAAACATGATTCTGAGTGGCATAGAATAAAACGCTTAAAAACAAGTCTAAAGCAGCAGTGAAAAACAATGAAACAATTAAACCTGATTATTAATGTTTTAATATTTATGGATGCCACTCTTATCTATTTTTTTTCAAGATATAGCTGCTAAAATGGAACTCCCAAGATATCTGAATGGCTTCATGTAATGCCACTGATTTTCCAGAAATGGTGAGGTGTCACTACATTTCTAGAAAATGCAAAGAATTTGGTTTTGGCAAAACTGAGGAAAAAAACCATTTGCTGCACAGTAAGGAGTGAAGATCCTGGGGAAACCTGTCACTCCTACTTGGAATGTAGAAAAGATGGCTGCATCCTCCGCATACAAAAGGATCAAAATGGATCTACTGGCTAATGAAGGGAGGTGGAATTCAGGGCTTTACAGAGCTTACTGCAGCAGCAGAATTTGGCCTATGGTGACTTGCATATCATGAACATATTGCAGAATTTCCTATTTTATTTAAAACTCAACTTGACTATAAGGCAGGGTCAGCAACTTTTTCAGTCAGACAAGTATCACTCCATAATTTGCAGACCCACATACACAAAACTTAAAAAGATATGTAACCAAAAACTTTAAAATTAAAAATAAATAAAACTTAAAATTTTAAATTAAAATTTTAAAATGTCAAAACATAATGAGAACTCATACAAGAACAGAGATTTGGCCATCTCACAAATGGCTATTTAAAATATTTGCTGTTGTTGCTGTTTAGGTCACTAGGTAATCATCTAAGGCAGTGTTCCTCAACCTTGGCTGCTTTAAGCTGTGTGGACTTCAACTCCCAGAATGGCTGGCTGGGGAATTCTGGGAGTCGAAATCCACACAGCTTAAAGTGGCCAAGGTTGAGGAACACTGATCTAAGGGTACTGTACTATGGGGATGCCCACCGACACCATGATGCCATTCCTACTATAAAGGATTAATGTTCAAGTTCATATTTTAAACAGAATGTTATTCATTCTTAACTTACTGGATTGTCAATGTACAGCATGGAGAACTTGGAGGTCCAAGGAAACATTCGTTTAGTCACTATTAAAAAGAAAGCAGGCAAACCAGAATAAGGTTCTACATCAGGCACTATCAACGTACCAAACTCTGGATATTTGTGGTGAATTTGGCATACCAACTACATGTTGGATACATCACCCCAAAAGAAAATAAGACTGACATGTAACAATAATTTCCAAGTATTATTGGGTCTGGGCTCTGGGTCCCTGTCCAATGATTTTGCCAATGATGATAAATGATCATTGGTAAACTGTTGATCACTGGTAAAATGATCAACTGTTTTATATGTTAGCATCAGCTAATGTGTCCCAAATCTTTGTCTATATCTTCCTTGTGATATATGCCTTAATCACAAGGAAGATATAGACAAAGATTTGGGACACGTTAGCTGATGCTAACATATAAAATAGTTGATCATTTTACCAATGATCAACAGATCAACAGTTTACCAATGATTTTTTTATCATTTTATCATTTAAGAATGAATTATTGGGTCAGTTTTCATTACTAGTACTATTTTAGCCCATATTGGTCAATTTGTGACAGGCCCAGCCCACAAACAATGGTGAAACAGTCCAGTTGAGTTAAATTCCTTTATTTGCTTACACCATATAGACAGAATCTTGCCACACTAAATCTATACTACTGCAACAAGTGGATATACCCTGGGAGATTCTAGGGAGTGGCTATCTTGAATCCCTTATGCTTCCCACGCTCCCCCTGTGGACTGTGTTTTTTGTCTCTTTTTCCTTCCTGGAATGCACCCCTTCCTTCCTGATAGCCTTGCTCTCTGTTGCTATCCATCATAATTAACTAACTTTTAAGTAATTTTTATTTCAGGATGGTGGAATGCGTCAAGAACAACATTCAAATTTCCGACTTCCATGGAACAATGGCAGTCATCTCCATGAGAGGGGAGATGGCACTGCAGCTGGATCAGTGGCTGGAAGCAAGCACTGGCTGCCCAACTTGCTCCATATCAAGGAGGAAGCGAGAAATCAACCATTTGGTGTCTGGGACAGCCATTCCTCGTAAGCTAATTGCAGAAATGGAAGCTTCTGTGAACGGCTTGCGAGTGAGCAGCTGGGAGGTGGGGGATCCATCTTCATTCACAGCTGTGGTGCAGACTAAATATGGACACTAGAGCCGGCCGAACACCATTTCTAAATCACTTTGGAATATAACTATTTTTCAATGTAAGAGAGACCTTCCTTTGCAACAGGTAAGTAAATCTCTTGGTGTTTTTTCATTATTTCTGGGACTATAAAAGAAGAATTAGAATTTTATTCTAATTTGAACAACTCACAAAAAGCTGGAAGATAAGGAGAAAACAAAAAAGATATAAAAGTTACTTATGTGAAAGGGGTAGATTTATTTGTTAAAAGTTTAATTTTATGAAACTCCATCTGTATTAATTGGATTTGATTTTTCTATGGGAATTTTTTTTGTTTTTACTGTGATATGCTTGTTGATTGGCTGGATTTTCAAAACAGAAGAAGATAGTAACTTGAGCCCTGTGTATTTTTTGCCAGTGCGTGGCTGTAATTACAGCATGAAAGGCACCAGGGGGCATGAACTGTCTTTTACTTTCATTTATACAATACCTACGGTTGCTTGCTTTGGGGGGAAGAAAAGAAAATGGCTAGAAGAAGCCCTTTGGAGCAGCTGTTAGAAGATAAATTGACTTCTTTAAGTTTACTCCAATCAATGTTTGATGAATTAGGAACTAAATTCAAGTCCCTTGAAAAAAACAATAGAGGAAAAATTGGATAAGATTGTTAATTTTGAAATGGAGGTGAAGACTGGCTTGAATGTGGATTTGGAGTTTTAAAAAATGCTAGATTATGAAGGTGATATGAACAAAGATGTAGTGGATTCAAAAATGGATTTAAAAATGCCAAAGGATAAGAGTGATATGGGAAAGGATGTCAGAACAGATTTACAAATGAAACCAACTGATGTCACAATGATCAAAGGGGACATACAAATAATGGAAAAGAACAGTAGCTTGGAAAGACTTTTTAAATTGGATTTGCAAAAGGAATGTGTTGAACCAGTGAGGCTGTTCCTGGGAAGAGTAAAAGAGAAATTACTGGACTGTTTCTGTGAGAAGACAAGGAGAGAATGACAGGGAATCATTTGAAAGGATTAAAGATTAAGCTTCTTAAAAGTAAGCAAAAGGCTTACAAAGTGAACTTATTTGATTATGGTTAAGGTTGGAGTTTTCAGGGGTTATTAATGAGATCTTTTTGTGACCAGGATTGAATGACGAGGTTTTAAGAATCTGTGTACATTTGTTATTAAATGTATGGAATTTTGTTCTTATATATGATGACAGCAGTAAGGTTTTTTATGTGTTCGGAACAGCCTCACTGGTTCAACACATTCCTTTTGCAAATCCAATTTAAAAAGTCTTTCCAAGCCACTGTTCTTTTCCATTATTTGTATGTCCCCTTTGATCATTGTGACTTTTTATGTGTTCAAAGGTGGAAGGATATGACATTATCTACAATGGAGAAATGGATGGTGAAGCTGATAGAGTTGGCTGAGATAATGAAAGTGATGGTTTTGATTTGAGAAATCATTGTGTAATTTTAATGTTAATTGGAAACTTTTTGTGGACTTTCTGTGGGAAATAGAAAAAATGTAATTATGTTATACGGATCTGATTATTAGAAATAATATGGGTTTACATTAATAATGAAAATTATGTCATAAACTTAGAGCAAGAGATTGATGTGTATTGTTACTTATATCTGTTGTGAGGAGGATTGGAAGTCAATTCTTTTTCTTTATATTTCTTTTTCTTTCTTTGCTTTTTCACACTTTTGATCTTGGTCATTCTTTTTTTCTAATTTTCCTTTCTTTTTCTTATTTTCTTCCTTTAATATTGGTTTTTGTTCGTTTCTATTGTTTCTATTTTAAAAATTAATAAAGTTGTTTAAAAAAAAGAATAACATTTAAATTTCAATTAGTTTGGATATATTCAGTATCTTCAAGTATGTATTAACACCACAGCACTGGTAGTCCCTGGGTAAAGAACACGCAGTTTACGGATCACCCATAGTTAAGAATGAAGCCTATTGTAGCAAAATTCGAGTTAAATACACAATAGTTTGAGTTAAATATACAATGGTTTGAGTTCATTACACAATACTATTTATACAGCATTATACAATAATACTGTTCTGGTTTACATACAAATTTGACTTAAGGACAAGCCTTGGGAATGGAACTTGTTCTTAAACTGGGGACTACCTGTATACACATTTAGGATAATAAATATAATTTTGTTGTATTTTATAACATTTTACTTTAGCAGAGCTCTTTATTTCTTGCTAATGAAAAACAGAGGCCAAGTATTTCAAATAAAATATTAACATCTACCAAATAAATAGGAAACATGTTACTTGTGCTTAAAATGTAAAAGATATTATTTTCAATTTATTACTGTCAGACAGATCCCAAGTTTTGAAACAGTGAGCTTTAGACATATTTCATCTAAAACATAATGGTCATTAAAGTACCAGTTTTGCATCAGCAACATGGTTGACAGCAAGTACCCATTTTCTTATTTACACTTTTTCAGAACAGGAACTGTATATTCTGCTGTAACGGCTAAATACAGTTCACGCACCACCAGAATTACAATTAAAATTTGGAAAAAAGTGAATAGTCAGTAACAAAAATATGTGCTCATATTCCCATGTACTACACTAGGAACGAATCAAATACTTGCAAGTGAGGTTCTTCTGAACAATATATGGTCCATGTTCAACAAAAAGGCCAAACATGGATGTTCCTCCAGGTCCACCTTGGAGCCAAAGTAAGACAGGGGCCTTTTCTGGCTGAACCTGCAAACCATAATAACAAAAAGATTGAAACTATTCTTGCATAAACTGAAATATTGCATTACTTTAACAGACTGTAAGAAAGTGCCATCACTGATTTATTTATTCATTTATTGGTTTTCCATATGGTTGTTGTCAAGCTCAATATGTTTTTGGTTACCATTCTGAAATAAATATGTACTAGACTTTTCAATACCCAATTTTTAATCTATGTTCTCAAAAACCATGTTGAGACAGAACTGAATTCCTATACCATCCAGTGTAATGATGTTTAGTGTCCAGGATATTTTGGACACTTCACCTATGGACACAATAACATTTGAACTCCTATCCCCATTAAACGATACAGATCTTCACATGAAGCTAGGTTGCCTGGCACTATACTTTAAACTACAGCTCTTATAATTCCACACTGGCTAGGAAATATCACTTATCTTTTAAAAATCCTCTAAAGAAAAGCAAATGTTATAATAAAAAAGGGGCTGTACAAAAGTTCTATTTCCTTGAATGAGTATAAACAAAAGTGCCTTGTTATCTTATCAAGTGATCTAGTCACTAATTGTAATAAAGGAACTAACTTATCAAATGTTTATGTATGCTTATGCCCACAGACAGAAATACCTCAATACAATGCTCTGTCTGTGTCAACTGTCCTTTTATAGAATTCCCTATAGAAACAGTTGGTCTGTGTTTGCCTAATTTTAGGTAGGCTGTAAATCCTGCTTTGTTTAGGCTGGTCTTTGATGGGTTTTGAGGTAGTATCCCACTCTTGAATGTTTCAACATGAGTTGTCCTGTTCTTAATTTGATTGTTTTGATAAGAGATTGTTTTTACAGCTGCACACTGCCTCAAGGACCCTTTTGGGCAGAAAGGAGATCCATAAATATTTTAAAAATCAAATACCTGCACAGTCTTTAATTGTTGATATTCAGAGAAAAGAAAGTTGTAGACTTTATAGTAAGAGAAAGGGAACAGAAAAGTATGTATCGAGGTCCATAAACAACATGATCACGTGGAACAGATCCTGATGATCTGCACAAAACCAGAGACTGACAAAATCTTCTGCTCATGGATAACTAGCATAATAGAGTGAAGTGCTACTCCAAAGCAATCATTAAATTCTTCTTGCCTCCCCCAGGACTTCTATACATTGCAGTCTGAAGACAAAAAGTAATGAAATCCTGAGCAATTTCAGTGGCACTTATTTCACTGTTCTTTTTTCATGGTTATTTGAATAAGCCCTGGGGAAAAACATTCAGGTTCTCCTCTAAATAAAACATTATTACTGCCAACCCTTTTTTCCTCTTCACATCCATTGTATGAGATGGACTATAAATGGAATGAACTCAGGAATACAGCCACCGTCACCATACCACCTGAGATTATAGTTGGATTGTTAGCAGAACAATGCATGCTTTAACTTGAAATTCTACTGGCATTCTTGTTCAAAATCATATTTTCATATATCCCAAGGAGCCTTCAGAATCTGCAGCATGCTAATATGCTTTTAAGAAATGTAAAGCAAAGAGACTTACTGGCATAAATTTTTCCATCTTTCAACTGAAGCATACCTTTTACAAAATTCACTATTTTATACTACAACCTAAAAACTATCTAGAAATAGTCCTAGCTTTTCATTTATCACTAAAAATATTTTGAAAATACAAAAAAACCAAACAAACAACATTGGAAAGAAAAATTAGTTGTAAGTATCATTTAATTTTAGGGCCTCCTAGGCTAAACTGCTCCATTTAATACATTTACCAAGAGAAAATAGTACAGTTAAAAACAAACCCTAGAAGTGTGTCTATGTATGCCTTCTTGCATTATTTGCCAATGGCAGAAGCCATGCTATGAATGTTCCTTCATTATTAGCCCTGTTACCAGGGAAATCTACAAGAGATGATGGCTGCTATAACTGTGCACTCACAGCAGCCATCTTGACTTTCTAACCCCTGCCTTCCCACTGACCCTCTGCCTGTAACTGTTCTCTTCCTATAAATCTTTAATATCATCTTAGTATGTTCACAATGGCTGGATTCACACATGGTACCAAACTATATGATAGTTTACTTGATTCTGACTTAGCAATCTCTGTGAACCCCAGCCACCGTGGTTTTGTAAATCATGGCTTATAAGTTAGCACAATAATCAAATAATTATAGTATTTATTACTCTGAAAAATACATATACCATCCACTCCCATTTTTTGGTTTCAAACATCCGTAACCAAGAAACAGCCATTATGCGTCTAATCAGGAAACTGACAAACCTAAATTTCAAGTTACTTTATTAACACAGCTTTCCAATATACACACCAAAGTCAGAGAACACATGGGGGTGGGGAGATGGGGACTTAACCACAACATTATTCTAAAATGAAGACAAATACCCAGGGCTACTCTTTCACTTAAAAAAAAATCATAAAGTAAATTTGAGGTCATCTTTTAAATTATCACAATCTGTATATTCAAGGCTTATTGTATATATGCATTGCATGTGTATGTATATATATCAAAGTACATCTCAGAACTGTTTGCCTTGGAGGGGCTTTATTTTCCCGCCTTTAACATATTAACATACTACAGCACATGATGTTATCGACTATATTTGATAAGGACTTTTTTTCTGATAGAAGTCCGTTCATAGCTACATAGAGCTATACATGGAGATAACCATTTGTCCAAAAATGATAAAATAGTAGTGTCCCTTCTTAGCACTTTTATGGGCATAAGGTTCCTTTACATATGATATATACCCACAATATATAGAGCAACTGCCTTTTTAACAAATATCTTTATAATCTCATTCTCTAGTTCCAAAAGGTGAAGAATATACCCACCTGAGCAGGGAAGAACCAGAAGAAAAGGTTGCTATTGTGAGTCTTGTTGACTGTTAGATAGCCTGAATAGCTCTTCACACTGGGTCCTGGGAGAAGCCCCACCATACTTAGTTGCCTTCCTTTGAAAGAATAAATCATCATTATCATTGTCCAAATGAAGGATTGATCAACACACAAGGATCCAAGAGTTGGGATATATATATATGTGTGTGTGTGTGTGTGTGTGTACAGTTTCAAATAAAATAAGTTTAACATTTTTACCATTCCAATTTATTCTAATTTCTCCACAACTACCCAGAAAAAAAATTATTTATTTTATTTTTATACCACTTTTTCTAATTAAGGAGCGATATGCAAAAAACAGTGAAAGATTGGGATAAACAGACTTCTTCACTAAGTATTATGAGGAGCTGGTTGTTTATGCTTTCTCTTGGTGTAATGAAGAACTTTAAAAAAAATCTGCTTTTTTATGTTTAGGTCCCATTTCAGAGAAAGACCAAATGAATGAAAAAGCCAAATTTCTGGTAATTTGCCAGCAAGAAATTATGCCTCTTCATGTAATGGCTTAGACTGAAATGTCAACAGTAAGAAAGTTTACATCCTCCTTTACATGGGAAGTCACAATTACACATATCACATGATGCTGGCCCTGCATTCTTAATTTAAAGGCTTCTTCCATTTAAGTAAGATGAGAAAATTACACTTATAAGTTGGAACATGTTATTTGCACCAGTCCCCCAACTGAAGAAAAGTGAAGAAGGATGTCATTCCTGATTCCCTGTTCACAATAATACAGCTTTGCAACTGGAAACACAATACATTCAAAACAGTTTTTTCTTCCTTAAGCTGCACCCATACAGATATCCAGAGTGTAACATGACCTGTGGCAAAGGTTAAAAAAGAAAGATTGGAAAGTTGTCTGCAGTTTTACTATATGTAGCTGGACTTGGGTGGTCTACAATCCAAACAATGATAGAAAGAGGATAAACGTAAGATACGTTTCTCCAATTCAACTACATTTATCTAAAGTTCCAGTCAAACACGATGCAAAGTTTAAAATATACTTTCTAAAAACTCACTGTTGTGATCACTGCATTTTAATAGGGATAAACAAAGTATAAATCACATGGAAGTGAAAAAATTGTAGTGGTTATGCATGTACTTTTATGCATAGCTGGGAGCAGCTCCTGAAGCAGCCATGTGATCTTGCGAAAGGTACGGTTGCCTGAACAATCCAATAAAAAGTACATCTCACAAAGCTTTGGGAATGCTTTGCGCAGCCCTAGATTCAACCGTTATGTGCAGACACTGCAGAAAAGCTGGAGACACTGGAAACATTATTTTTCTGCATGCTTTAAGTTTAAAAAATACCATGTTTATAAACTACTTTTACCTTCCTCAGTTTTACCACTTTCAATGTAAGGTGTTAGAAACAGCGGTTGTCCAGGGTCTCCTTGTGATGGCGAAGCATATTTTATTCTTCTAAAAATACTCCCAATGGCACTCCGTCGTACATGGCAGCTGCCTAATTCTAAGATCAAGCTCAGACTTAGCAAAGCCGACAAAGCCATTGTTATCTTGCACATCCTTTCACTTGGTTACCTTGAACGAAATCAAATAATGGACTAATTAAAAATTCAAATGGGCTACAGTGGCCTTATCAGAACAATCCAGGTCCCATTCATTCCAGCAATAACTCCAGGATAGAATGCAATATTTATCACAGAGTTACTTTCCTTTCTTCTTCTACAGGTAGTCCTTGCTGGTCCCAATTACCATTGCTAAGCAACTCCATTCTATGGCTTCTTTGTACTGTATAGAGATTTATATTTGTAACTATAGAAGCAACCATTAATAAACACTATATGTAATATAAAAGCTTGGTGAGAATTAATCAGGCCTTGGAGAGAAAGCAAACAACCGAGCAGCTTGAACCACTAGCTGGGATCACAGCAGCAATCAGCAAAATCATAGATTTTCTGGAAGGATGTGAGTATCCATATGGCATGAAGCCTTGCTTGTTTGGGTTTAGTGAGTTGCATGATCCCAGTCACTGTAATTTGTAAACCATAATTGAGGATGTTATCTTGTACTAACCCAGCCATGTGTGGCTTTTCTAATAAACCATGGTTAAACCATGACTAAGCACAATGTGTGAATTCAAATATTAGTTCAATAAATGAGACATTAATTATGTCCTGACTCTCATGCATAGATATGACCTGTTTTGTTTTGTTTTTTAAAAAAGACAAATGAAGGAAAAATTAGCTGCAATTCCAGGGCAACCTTGATAAAACACTTGCTGGGGGGGCCATGACATTTACTCACAGCTATTATTTAAATAAACATAAGTGAAGGATAAGACTTTTTTTTTTCAGATGGAATATGGCCTAGACATAGCACAGGCATCCACTCAACCAAAATTACAAAATGTGCATCATGATGTCATAATACAAGCTCTACTCTTTCATATTTGCATTGCAATGCCAACATTTGCTATCTAAACTTCTTTCACTATAACTGGTAGGTGGTAAAAATAGTAACTTTGGGAATTATTTGATTCAATTTCAGCACCGCTTAACTCCAACTGACTTTGTTTTCCTCTTCTTTCCTTACCAGGTTTTCCTCAGCAGATCTTTTATACTTGAGGGTATGCAAGCTGATCTAGAAATTTTTTGGGATGAAGATCAAGATAAAAATGAATGCTATTAAATTTTAAACGAACAGAAGAATTTTCCAAGAGATTGATTGTACATAGTTAACATAATGTCTAGTTCATCCTTACTTCAAAACTCATTATAATGTGATTATATATTTTGGTATCACTGTAGTTAACTGTGTTGGAGAAGGTACAACTAAATAACATCTCCAATTATATTGTCATTAGGGGAGATCCTGCCTACTGTGCTATAGCTGACCAACTACCATTCTTTAGTGATAAAAAGAGGCCCTTCTCTGAAGTGAGAAATGCAAAGCCCTACTACTGATGTGTCTTAGGCATATAATGCCATTCACCTTTTTAATTAGGCTTTTTCTAGACATTAACGGCCAATAACATTTGACTTTTAATGGGTTGGTCTTATTCTGGATTTTTGTTGGGTTCAGAAGCTACTTCAGTATTTTTTGTAATGAGAAATGAAATCAAAATATTAACACAGTATTAATACGACTAGTAATAGTAATGATGTGTTGTTACCTGTGCTTAATGTGCCATCAATGAGCTCGGAGGGAAGACTAATAGTGAAACATTGCAGACTTTACCTATTTCTCAGGCAAGTTCAATAATTTTTAAGGAGCTCTGCTTGCTACTAAAATCATGTGGAAATGAAAAACACAAAATTGGATCTCCAGTCATACTGGGGAGGAACGGATTTTCAATCAACAGTAACAGAAATGCTTTTACTTCTCTAGAATTACCCAGGAAAGACAGATGAAACCAAGGTGGCCAAATTCAATCAACAGCTATTCCAACTATACAGAGAGTTGCCTTCCATTACAGAAACAGACTGAACTTGTCTTTGACCTCATTTCCCAGTACTACAGATCTATATAAAACGCACCTCCTCTCAGTTAAACAAATTTTAGGAGAGGATTAGGTCAAATGGGTAATGATGCACTTATCTTTCTGAAAAAGCATACAGTAATTAAATTACAATCATCTTAACGACTTTTATTAAGATGATTTACATTTAATTATGCTTTTTATATAATTATTTATTGTGAGAAGACAGTATTAAAAGTTGTCTATGATTGCTTTTCATATTATACATGTCCCACACATCTTACCTAGGACCAAGAGTTCTCTAAAGTTCTCACTTTTCTGGTCCAAATAAGACATTGTTCATTCTCCTGGCCAATTAGCAGGTTTGAAAGAACAAAGCTATACCTTTAAATAACATTGATCTGATGAAAAATACTTTCCAGTGTTTTGCCATACATTCATATGAAGTGGCAAGCTTGTTAATTACTTATTAAGTTTCATTAATTTACACTAAGGAAAAATGACTGTAAAAAATCAACAGCAGAATTAGTTGTGAAAGATTGCTGAGCAATTTTCCCAATTTCTTCAAAAACCTTTTAACCAAAAGAACTAACTAATTTGGCATTACTAAATATTACAATCCTTGGCGGCATTTTTTTTACAACCCTGCCAAAACAATCCAGAAAGGTTATAATTTATATAATGTTATTGCAGTAGATTGCCAACTATGGATTATGTTTGTGGTACATTCTCGATGATTTGCTGAAATACTTGCAAACTGGGTTCGTATACAGTATTGCACCGAGCTATAATGTGATTTCCTTGACTTAGCCCACTGTATAAACTAAGCTGCTGTCATTTGTCAAATGTGGTTTATTCATATTAACTGGATTCATACATCATACTACTTCAAAACCAAACAAACTATATTATGCACATGTTGTCTGAGCCCAGACAACAATTTGTCAGCACAATAGCACAGTTAATAAATTATCCAAGTTATTCTGATTCAAATCCAGCAGCTGTTATATGGAAAATTCAAGGTAGGCCAATTGGCACCCTAGGTGTATTGAACTACATTACACCCTGTCAGTATGGCCAAAGGCTGGGAACTACTGAAGTTGTAATCCAAAACATCTATAACATTCCAGGATTGGAAAAACAAATGCTTCGTAAACATAATTCTTCCTTTTATTTTCTTAAGTATATCTCTGCATACAATTGCACCATCAGATTAAATTGGTACAGAAATCTTACAAACAAACAAATAAAAGTATTATTGCCAAAGAAAGAGACCTGCATTTGGAATCCCCCTTAAGAATTCTGAAATATTACTGACAATTTGAGCTGTATTGGCTTCCAACATATTATGGTTACATCATCCCTTACTTCACCTGGCGTAGTAGCATACTCAAATCAAAGAATGAGAGATACAAAAGCAGTATTGATGGTGCTAAAAGTGCAATAAGACATTAATTCCACTCATCTAAAACCAACCAGTCACTCAGGCATATTTATAAATGCAGCAAAAAATTCCTCACTGGGTGTGACAGAAAAGGCAATGACATCAAGCTATCACAGTTGATGAATAGGGACTACATAGCTAACCTGAAACAGCACCCAAAATATCATGTTCTTTCTTAAATCCTTTGTCAGACTAGACAGATATTTCCATCTTTGTGGCTCTTTCAAGGTTTTTACTTGTAGGATCTCCTTGATATGGCTGGGATGAGGGGAGATGTGCTGGAAAAGACACTGAACTGCAGAGGTAAAATGAGAATGGGAAACTCCCTGGTTCTAATTCCTACAGTTCAGTCCTACACAGAACAATCCAGCAATTAGACAACGTAGCTCACTTTTAACTTCTGATGTTAAATGTATTAGTGGACAGTCTTAATGCTTATTCCAGCTCCCAACTGTTTCTGTCTATTTTACTTGGTTGGCTTCTAAAGAAAAGGTGCAAACCTGGAATTCTGTTATATACTGTCTTTGTTTAACAAGGCCTGAAAACATCTGTTGCAGACTATTTATGTATAAGCCAAGGAGAGCTTGCCAAATGAATTTATTGTGACAAGCTCTCAAAGACTCCAGTGTGTATCTGTAACAAAGAGAAAGAGGATTATTTTTATGATAAAGAAGCTAAAAAAGGAGTCAGTTTTCATCACAGTATTTCAAGACTGTTTAAAATTACATTTTGCTTGGCATTAACCTAGACTAATCTTTCAACCAAATATAGAAATCTTTTATATTTGCAGGCGGGAGGGAGAGGAAGCTATGAAAGCAAAGAAAATTTAGGAAATGTACTGTTTTCATGCTACAGCCAAAAATTTCATTAGCAAGCAGATGCTCACAGCTCTTCAGTTTCAGACACATTACTGATAACATTTTAAAACTGCATAATTATTTGATGTTTCTATTCCTGCCTGGCCTTTAGGCCAATTTGCATGTGCTAAATTATCAAAACAAAAAAGTAGCAGTTTTTCTCAACCTGGTGTTCACCAGATGTGCTAGATACTGAGTAGATTATGGAACACATCTGGAGGGCACTTCATTGGGAAAGACTAATGTAAAAGAAAACCAAGTTGATCAATTTGCTTTTTTTCTAGCCCAGTGAAGCATAGGGCTACCTAAATAAACTGAATGAACCTTTTGGCTAATATTATATTTAAAAGTATGCTGGAAGTAAGCAGTAAGATAAACATCAGCTGATTCTGATCATAAATCAGTGGCACTCCCCCTAGTGGTTTATATCTATCCTGGATTCTTACTTTCATTGTCAAAACAGGCTTTGCACTCTGTAGTCATGCTACTTCAAAGGTGATATCAATCACACAACAAAAGATCTTGTAACAGTTTGAACAATATGTATGGCCATTTATCTTCATAGCCACCTCTTCCCATACTGCTTTTCTTTATCTTCCTCTATTTTTCCCTTTTTTCAGATGTACATTATCTATCCATTTCTGCTACTGATCAAGCATCTTTTGGTTTCCAAAGTACAAATATATCTTTAAACCCAAGTATTTGATAATTGTAGCCAAACAAGATGGCATGGCCCTAACTTATTAATAATGATGGCAGGGCAAAGAAATAAAGCCCTTTTTGCAACAGGGCAATTATGACAGCATCACAATACCTTCTTATTAGTAAGAATGATTCAATAGCATCACTTAGAGGATTTCTCCCAATATCATATCTCATGGTCCTTAATGCTACATTTAAACCATGGTTTGTTAGAAATGGTTTCAATAAATCACAATTGACTGGGCCCACACAATGCCAAAATCAAATAAACCACAGTATTGTTTAGAATTCTGTATGAACTCGTCTATATTTTCCCAGCTAGGCAATATTCAATTCTAGAGCACTTCTCTGCTCTCTTTCCAATTCAGACCAATCCATCTTATTTTGAGGTCAACATTCTGAAGAGCTTCATATTCCCCTTTGTGGAACAAGAGTTTATAATCCCTGCCTCCGAACCCTGCTTTTCATTCCCCATATCTTCCCTCTCACTTTTCTTTTACTCACCAAGTTAAAGAATTTCCCACATTACCAAAAGCCAGTCAAGAACTTCAATTTTTGGTAGAAGCTCCTTATTTGAACTTCCAAATGTGTTTAAAAGTAGATTACCTTCATGAGAATCAGTTTAGTGTAACACTACTCACTTTAGAGTGGGAAAGTTGGCCCCGAAGTGTGCCACATTTCTTTCCACATACAGTAATCAATTCACTTTGTAACAGAAGTTGAGTAAGATGTTATCGAAGGCTCTGAAATGCACACTTAAAAACAGAATTGTTTTTATCTAAAGGGATTTTGGAATAGAACATACAGTTGTGCAAGATCAAGCATTTTATACTCTCTTCTTTGATTCTTGATAAAGTGCAGAGCTAGCATTGCACACTTCTAGTCTCTATTTATAATATTAGGGTCACTGCATCAGTGCTAGCAAAAGGCTATCCCAGTTTGCCTGATGTCATAGAACATGCAGGAAAACCAACAGAATTGGTCAGAAAAAGAGAATATACATACTACAAACAAATATAGCTGTTTTTAGTTAACAGTTCACAATGCTGCAATGTTCTAGAGCAGGTCAGCCAGAAGCAAAGTCCAGATTCCTTCTAGATCAGTACTAGTCTTTGAATCTTCATGATTTATATTAAAACCATTACTGAATTAAAGGGCTCAGGGAAAAATACTAGGAAAAGATCTTTGTGCAAAGGACAGTAAGATCAGTTCTAGTTATAAAACAAATCCCTGTGTGAGTACTCTATTTTTTCTCAGTCCCTATTCTACATCTGCCTTTAGCTGGTGTATTCTGGGGTTCTAGGAAAAACAAATATACATAAGCTTGAAGAATTTTGTGAGAAGAGACAAAGGAAAAATGAAAAGAAA